AGGAGGAGTGAGCAAGTGGGTAGGTATGGTACTCGTAGTGCCGAGGTGTTTTTTAAAAAAGGGGACTGCTATTGCATATCACCAAAGTTTGGTCCTCTTGTCTGGGTCTGGGTCGTATGCGATAGCGGTTGTTGTTCGGGAAAGTCATCGACACCACGAGTGCTGTGGTGGTGGTGGTCGTACCGCTCTGGAGATGGGAAATGCTGGCATGGAACTTTTGGTGATCGTCACTTTTGGACACCCAATTCTGGCGCGTACCATGAGAACTCTTGTGATCTGCTATCCCTAATCTCTGAACCCGAGAGACGAGCACGACAAAGAAGGATTAGTGCTCACCTCACACTGTAGATCCTGAGCTCTTTAGAAGTATTGGATCTCATGGATTGATATTTGCTATTCTGTGAATATGTCAGACTTAACCCTTCATGGGCCAATGCCGTGATCTGTGCTGATAGAGTGATATCGAATTCCGAGAGTTCTCGCGATATCCTAACTCAACGGGGTCTGGGGAATGTTGAATTTCAGATTTCGTGATCTTTTCTCTCCGTCCTCAACGACAAATGCCATTCGCCGTATAAGTCAACTACACGGGTATTATCGGTTGTGGTAACTTTTAAATGTTATAGGATCTTCATGTCCAACAAGAGCGCACGACAACATCACGCGAACGCGCACTCTACAGCGCATGACATATTCTTCTTGCTTGGGACATCCTGTCCTGATAGCTGACTAGCACGAGTAGTACGTCTGCTGCAGCGCCTTGGGTAAGGCGACCACAGCGAGACTAATCGACATGATAGCCGCGGTTCAGGAAGGAGTGGACTTTTTTAGGGATGTTACGGGTGCTGTTTGTTCTTCTAGTATTACGTCCTATGGGACATGGTATGGATGCTTACAGCGCAGTAGAGGAGAGCGCAGCCGTCATGCCATACGGATGTTTTCCGCTCCAGGGATCACACCGCATCAGTCAGCTGGATTGAAAAATCGCAGCAGCTTGCATATCGAGTGATCATGCGTGAACACTTGGGTTGACGACATTGCTATGATCAAGGATGGATGTATAGCACGGTACCGTGTCGCTACTTTCCGAGCAAACTTCTCGACATATCATGGCTAATCTACGGAGCAAGTGGTCTCCTTCCCTACTCTTTTCCTCCCCTAAGAAAAGTGTGAAGCCCAGCCCACACTTTCCGTGAAAAGGTCTTCTGTCCCTCCTGAGTGGAAAAATAATATCATAAAAATAAAATTTAATAATAAAAATAATGACACCGGAACCCCGATAACTGACAATCCCTCACCCTGAGAAATCCCTCAAAAGAAGACAAAACAAATGCCCAAAATCCAAAATACCGTGCCAGACAATGATAATAGAAATACCATACTAATTATAATCATAATAATAATGATAATAACCCCCCAAAAAGGAAACAACCCCTAGCGTAAGGGGAACTTTAGTGGCCAAGGGAGGCCAGGTCATACCTATCTGGGGTATAGTAGAAAAAAAAAGAGGGCAAATTACGATTAAAGAACCCCCCCCCCAGCCCGCCGCTAACTCATCTCTGGTCCCTAGAGACTTTCAATACCGGACCTGGATTCTGCCCCCCTCGCCTACTTGCATCCCGTGAACCTAGCCCGTGTAGAGTATCACAGCAATCCGCCCCCAACTTTCGACAATTGCAGGTTGAGGTGTCGGGGATTGGGAAGGGTGGTGGTGTATTTGGATACCCATCAGGGTAAGGGTATGGATAGCCTATTGCCAGCGCCGACGGGAGGACGCCGGGGTTCCGGTAGCATTCTGTTGGCCAGCTCTGGGGGGTGGTTAATAACTTGTTTATGTTTGGTTTTTTCCAAGAGGGGAAAGGAAGGGGAAGATAATGGAAAGAGTGATTCTTACGATTACTGGAGTGGGCCTCCTTCCAGCCTCGCTGGAGGAGCTCTTTGATGGCATGCAGCCCATGGTAGTAGTTACAGGTATGTTAATTCGAGTAGAGGAGGTATGATAGGCGGCTAGGTGGAAAGTGGAATTCGGGTCTCTTTGATTCTCCGAAGGTTGTTTGGAATAGTTTTGTATTGTATTGTATTGCACAGGTCGTGAGAGGGTGGTTCCGAAGGTTGAGAATGTGTGTAAGTATGTATGAATGTGGGTATATATCGATCTCTCCACTATTCTCTATCCCTCAAAGTGATTGGAGAGGAGAGGGCTCTACCAAGCTGTTCTTATATCAACTGTCCCCTCCCAACCGCAACACAAGCATCCCAACTCAACCCGGTGGGACCCGGACCATAGGTCGGGGATGACAGCGTAGGGAGATAAGTAGGTAAGTACCATAGGTAGGTGAGGTTGGGAGATGCCTCATAACGTACAAAGCCGTCCTACCCCTTGCATATGTCTCTGGAACGTAAAAACGTTTGCTCGTTCCAATCTAGGAAGAAGGGACAACGAGGAGGCAGGTACTGGTATGCCCGCCTACCCACTTACCTACCTACCTGCAACCGTCGCTCCAGTGTGACCTTCCTTGGGGAAAGAACCTGAACTCGCTTTTTGTCAAGACACATCTTTGGCTTTTGATCGGAAGCGCAGGGGAAGAAGGAGGAGGGCAAGAGTGAGAAGGGGTTCAAGAACGTTTGCCATCTACTATCAGTTGTTCATCCAATGGTGTTAGCGGGGGTGCATCTACTAGTATACAAGATTGATCTCCTAACAGAGCGTTCCCGGGCAAAGTTACCGTTTCGGACCTTTTCTGTTTTTCTCCCGCCACATTTTCTTGTAAGTTGGCTCTTGGATCTTTTTCCTTTTTGTATCATTATCTACCGTGGGGTAGCAGAAAAGACACTAAACCCTCTGCCAGAGATTTGCCGGCTGGTAGTTCTTTTTACTTTTCTTTGCTTTAATCTTACCTCGCACGACAGAGTGTGGCTTTCTAGTAATGTATTGCACCGTACCCTAAAGGACCTCCGGCTCACTCACTCACATGCAAAACACTTACTACTAACTCGCCTTAACTTGAAAGTATGTAAGCCTTAAACAATCATCATATAAGCAGATACGAGTCCTTAAACCCCTCTGGACCAGATGAAAACAAAAAAAAAAAAAACGGGGGAAAAAGAGAAATGTATACAGTGCACTGCCGTACGTTGCCGCACGGCAGCCACACGATGACATCTAAGACATTTCTCGATGTTCTGTGTATCCGACAAAGTTAATCCAGCTTGTTGCCATAATTGATCGTTGATTGAACAGCTTACACCAACAATAATTTTTTTTCCGTGGGTTACAACACAACCCAGAAGTTGTTCAATTATTATACAACTATTTTTCGGCCAGTGAAACACCTAGCTATTGTAAGAAACATATCGAGGCTCAAGCAGTTTCGAAGCCTGCGTGAACTTCTGAAATCAGAAATTTCCTAAATAAGTACTCTTACTGTACCCCTCTATGTCGGGTGTCAATGAAAGCCCGGGCGCTTAAACCGAATTTCTAAGCTCTTACACACAAGCAATTCCACAACATGAGGCTCCCAGATCCATCAATAGGTAAACGCGATTGTAGAATATAGATCCCTAGATTCTTGGCTGCTTGAACATATGGTTTGGTAGGGGGCTCATGGGGGGTTGGCACAGTGGACCTGAATTGCTCATAATATTATATTCTTTTGACTATTTTGGCGTGGTTTTGGTGGTGGCAACGACAAGCGATGAGTTGTCACAGTACCGTATGTACGAGTGCGATGGTAGTAACCCTTTAGTGCTGGGACAAAATAGCACGAAATATGCACATGTACATGGGTTTATGTGCAGTTATCCGTGATTCATGACGGTGCATTAGCAAAAATGATACTGCGACTGATTAGTTAACTATTGGGTTGATTGGTGATGGTATCCTTCCCTTCAGTCCACTTCCCTCCCTCGCCCCAAGACCGGTATCATACCTATATTCGGCCTCTTTTTCCTTTTCTCTTTGTCGGCCCCAGACCCGAGGCAAGTTTCCCCTTTTGGCTTCTCCCGGCACCGCGGGAGGAGGAAAAAACCTAAAAAACTCACCTCCCATACAGACGCCCGAGTATAATATTATACGAACACGAGGAGCATACAGTCCACTACAGGACTTAATTCTCACTCCCTCGAGACTGAAAAGCCCGATTACAGACCAGGGCACTCCCAGTCAGACACCGTAATACAACACGGTGTTCTAAGTACTGTACCGGTACTCGAGTAAACTCTCCGTTCAAATTTCAACCCCTCCCTGCAATTGCAATAATGCGGGAGACTTGTCCTGCCCCCCTTGAACATGCACCAAATGTATGTGTCACAATCAATCGTTCCTATCCATGGTTTTGGTCCGAAAATCTCCCGCCCCCTGTCTTCCTCCCTACTGCATCAGTCCACCCATCCATGATTCCCGACGCCATGTTGATGTTTTTTTCCCCTTTACTTCCCCTTCTCTCCCGTTTTGCGAGATTTGATAGGCCTCTGGCGGAGCTGTACTTGTATCCCGCAAGCCCGGCGGGATAATAGATCTGGCGATTTCGAAAAAAGCCCCCACACCCCCCCGCGCGCGGCTGTTGCTGAAAACCCAACAACTACCGATAAGGCACAAACCGTCCGCCCATAAGACCACACTCCCACTAAGTTCTGTTCTTCAAGGGCCTACAACACGAGAGAACACCGAGACATGTTAGGAAGCATAAACCCAAGACAAAAGCCACCAAGGATTTTTGTTGCCGTAGAGCACCGATTTGCAAGACAAAGGGCACCAGCAAGTAGGTAATCAAACATCACTATCTATTCAACACGGCTTAGTGGTGTCGTCGGTTCAATCCGCAAATGCGATTCTGCGGATGTTCAATGCAAAAGAAAAGTGACCACCCGAATTGGCTATAACCTGTCTATCGGGTTAACTATGTACTGTACTGTACCGTCACAAGACCAACTTTGTGCACAGTACCGGTATGATAGCCATCAAACTTCAGTACACAATCCCCAAAGGAGAGGTTTGAGTATTTTTTCCGCACCGAGGTTCCATTGCATAACGCTTATTTCAAATAGGAAAAAAAATGAGTAGTAACAGAACAGAATACCCCTTTTTTCCTGCAGGCAAGCGTATCAATAGCACTTGAGAATTGGGGGGAAAAAAGAAGATAGACCGCCAACAATTATGTCAAACCTTAAACACCCTGCCGCCCATACCAGGGTGAGCGCTTTTTCTACCGGGGATTTATTTATCTAATTCCGGGCAGTTCTTCAAGTGAAAGCTCTTCAGCCTCACAAATGCCTCGAAACCAAACTTGCTCAGTGTTACACCTCTTCCCGAATCCTTCCAGCCGGTCCATGCAAGATCCTATGTATGACGCAATTCCATCAGTCAGTCAGAGACACTATCATGCTTTTATACAGTAAATTCACACGTGAGGTGCCAATAAAAAAGATTGACTTAATAAGGAGAGAAAGGGCGATTCCACGGCGCTGTGAAACCAACGACATTTCTGTTGATCCCAAAAGTAGAACCCGTCTCCGAAGCAGTTGAGAGAGGTATGGTAAATTCTTAAGCAAACAAAACTTGTCGTAGCTATAAAATATGACTTGTAACGATACGCGGAGAATAAAGCCCTAAAAGGCCCCTAGAAGGGGATCTGGAACGTACCGGACTAGGGTAATCACAGCGATTGACAAACACTGTTCCTGCTTCGACCCGTTCCACCAACCGTTCTCCGGTCTCAGTGTCCTTGGTCCAGATACTAGCCGTTAGGCCAAGTTGCGAGTCGTTCATCAGCTTTACAGCCTCTTCATCATTGGAAACCTTCATGACAGGAATTGTAGGCCCGAATGTCTCCTCGGTCATGATCCGCATACTGTGGTTGCACTCGGCCAAAAGCTCTGGTCTAACAAATGTCTCACCCAGCCGGACACCTTCGGCAAATACTGATTTCGGAGTAAGATTTACGGCGCCTTTAGCCTCCGCGTCTTTTATATGTTCGGAAATAGTCTTTGCAGATTTGACCGAGACAACAGGACCGATCTGCGTGCTCTTGTCAAACGGATCCCCGAGCTTGTAGCCTTCCAAGACCTTGACCACCTCTTTTAAGAAATCGTCATAGACACTCTCATGGACATAGACCCGCTCAATTGAGCAGCAGCTCTGGCCGGAGTTAAATACGGCACCGTCTACGATGTTTTCCGCAACCCAAGCCAGGTTCACATCCGGACGAACATAGGCTGGGTCTTTCCCTCCGAGCTCGAGTCCGATGGGGACGACTCTTGATGCAGCTGCCTTCTGGACCGCAATTCCCCCAAACACAGATCCTGTGAAGGCGATTGAGCGGATATCCGGATGAGAAACAAAATACTCGAGCGCCTTAGGGTTTCCACAGTGAACTGTCTGTAATACGTTCTCTGGGAGGCCTGCTGCGCTGAATATCGAGACAATGTGTTCCGCTACTGTGGGTGTTTGTGGGGACGGTTTCAGGAGTAGGGTGTTCCCAGCTAGGATGGCTGGGACAAGCGAGTTTATCAAAATAAGGTACGGGTACTAGAATTCGCCAATCAACTATCCGCCCTCAGGAAATTTCAAGACGGCGATTTGAATGTTAAGCGATAGATAGACTCACGTTCCAAGCGAAGATTACCAAGATCTACAAGACTCAGAAAGTTAGCACAGGAATCATAGCAACTCAGTCCGGATCCCAACCGGCAATTATTGACGCGAATATTGGAGAGGTCCTACCACTCCCAAAGGCTCCTTTCGGATGAATCTTCTGAACCCCTCCTGCTCTTCACCGGGGGAATCCTTCAAAGCCTCATCGGAAACCTTCAAGAGGTATTCTGCCCTCATCTTTGCAGTCGACACCTCCGAGCCAGTGTAAGCGATAGGTCTCCCCATTTGCTCTGTCAATTCCTTAGCTAAGAGATCGCTCTTGCTGGATAGGATCTCTAAAGCTTTCCTGACGATCTCCTGCCGCTTCTTCAGGGGATGGGTATGACGAAAAGTCGAGAAGGCATGATTGGATTTCTCGACTATCGACGGGAACTCTTCGGCTGAGACTCCCTCTCGGATCAGCAATGGCTGGCCGGTTATAGGAGAGATTGTGGTTATAATTTCTTTGCTCATCGGAGAACTTTGTTAAAAGATGTTGAACTGAGGATACCGGAAGAGAGTTTGCTTTTGGTCTAGGAGGTCCAGTGATGAGGAGGGGTTAACCGTTGCGTAACAACCACGTTACACAACTCACTGTGCCCTAAAACCCGGTCCCAAGGCAGTTAGAATTATACAGATATCTGCTTGTAATACTCCCGCCATAGACATCACCGAAGAGGCCACAGGCTGCTGGTATTATACCAATACTAAAATACCGCAGCCCATGATACTATTAAGCAGGTAGACTATTGTACTGGTAAACAGGTAGACAATTTTTCTAAGTGATTTGTGCTTCGCCAGTAGATCTACATCAAGTTGAGTTTGATATAAGTATTGAAATAGCATTTCCCTTTAGTACTACACGTACAGTACAGTACATATACCCGCCTAGCCCTAACTCATAATTGGTGTCCCCAGCAGTTCACCAACAACGCTAGCCCGCAGCACCCTAGCGCTCCTGTCAGTTTTCCATGAAATGGTGAAGCCCGCGATTCTCTATCGTTTATTCTTCGTCCATCCGGCCCGACATGATAGCAGGGACATCCCCATATGAAATTAAACCCAGGAAGTTTTCTGCACCCCAAGCTTATGATTAACTTTCAAATAAACCCACGGGTAAAATCACTCGAGTGAAGTGATTATCCTGTAGATTCTAGGATACACTGCCCAAGTGCCAAATAGACGCGCCAAAAGACCACATTGAAATTAGTGCCCCGTCCAGATGATACGTTCACTTTCAATCCACTCGCTTAGCTTCTTGCTTTTTTCCCCAAATCTTTCGTGACCACCATTCTTCTCTTTGTATATCTTCTTGATATCCCTCACGAGGTCCTCAATGTCGCTCCCCCCATCGCAATCCTTCCATTTTCCTCCGTCCCTAACGCACCGCTTCTTCCCGTCAACCCTGACGGTGCAACTTGTCTCTGCCTCGAGCGCTCTGCTTCTCTCCACGCTATTTCTCAACATGCTCAGTCCACCATCAGGTCCCATATCCGACGCACAGTCATTTAACTTTTGGAAGTCAATTCCATTCTTATCTGCACATCCTTCAACAAATTCTCGTTCCGGGATATTTTTGAAATCGTGTATGAGGCAAAGAGAGAACGGTAAGTACGTATGTGCAGGAGGAGGCGAAGGAGGTGTGTTGATCTTCGCGCTACATAGATGTAGAATATTGCCGAGGCATTCTGAGGGGCCGTGCATACAAAATACACCATCATCCGCTGTAGGTCTGGAAATCTTGGTTAGTGAATACCAAAGAAGAACTGAGTGGCCAAAAAACACCGTCCGATGAAGCTCATTTGGAAGTCCACCAATGATTCGATCTCCTCAAGTGTGGGCGCAATGAGCTGTTCTAGACAATCTCTGGCATCCGGGCACTTGGACATTATGTGGATCTCGAGAGGAACTTTGATCTCGGCTGCAAGACCCGGCGCCCTCAATGATTGTTGGTTATCCACATTATGGTTCGGGGGATAGTCGCGGGTAAGAAAAGAAGCCAGGGCCCCAGGGTCAGGGGTGGCGATATAAGAAGTGTAGAGAATTACGACAACAAGAATGAACGGGATAGCCACGCGAGAAGAAGACATGGTGAGGCTGCGGAATTGGGGTAAATTAAAGGAGTAGAATAGAGGGGGAAAAAAGGGAGGAAGGAGAGTATGGAGCATTCTGGGTGATGAATTACAAAGCTCCGTATGACAGGGTAATGACGTATCTTGGCAAACCCAACGGCCGAATCTGCCCGGATCACAACCAGACCACTTGGACAGAGAGTCCGACGCTATAGTCTACACCGTGACTCAGACCATTCAGCACATCGCTGAAGTCGAGGGTAGTCTGCTCGAGTGCTGTACATACTCGAGTACATAAAACCAGAGCAAAATGCTCATCGTAATTCCGTTTTGTGCACCATATCTACAAGCTCAGTTCCCAGGCAGAGAAACCAAAACCGGAACCCTATCTCCGATCAGAGCAATGTATTATATCTGCTCTGGAAACCAGAAGCTCTGAGGAGAATTTTTTTTTTTTTAACCCTTTCGTGGTCATACAGTGTCACAAAGGATCACCACTAGTATTCGTGCCGGCGAACGACCATATGCCCTCCCCTTAAATTGAGATAATTCGATAGGACCCTAAGAATGCGGAACGTCATGTTCCAAGCACCCTACCCTCTATGATACTAGTAGCATTACCCAGTTCATGATTTGTCACTCGCAATACAGGCTCGACAAGTTCTAACGTAAATCACCGGTTTCCGGGACAACACGGTGCACCGGAACAGAGTTCTAACTACCAAAGTAGAAGAGAAATTCAATTGTAACTTTGCAAGAAAAAATAATAAAAATATTCCAAAGCCACTCTGAAAAAGAGAAAATATAGGAGAGGAGGCAGTAGGAGGAGGAGGAAGGTGGAAGGAAAACTAGATTTTTAAACAAATTAGGTATAGTTAAAAGTAGTGAGGAGAGGAGAAGAGGGAAACAAACCTGGAAAAAAGAAAGAAAAAAAAGTCAAAGGCTAGTGCTTTGAACGCAGCTTCATATGGAGTGGACAGTCTGGCATATGGGTGCAGGTAATGAGAGGTCGGAAGGGAGTATCAGAGGAGCAGCGGTGGCGAGATGTGTAGGTATTTTGACAAGGATTCCACAACGCATCGGAAACCATCTCAACGGTCTCTGCTGTGGCCAGAATTGGAGAGGTTGGTATAGCTTCTGGAGATAAAGCAAGCTGAATATGTTGAGACTCTCGGGGGAGTGAAGGTTCTGGATGAGGGGTGCCTGGTAGGATGATAAAGGTGGTAGTTTTTTTCTTCTGTTGCCGTGGCCTTTTGGGATGGCTGTCGAGCTCTTCGCAGGCTTTTCGCAAACCAATAAGCTCCTTGCCTGTCAGAATATGGGCCTTTGAGAGCTGCTTCCTGTCTGTCTGAGTATTGTAGGTCTTTTTCTGCCGTAAGCCATTACACACCTTTTCCCTGATCTCTTTCTCAGCCATAGAAAATAGAGCTGCATGGCTAAAAGATTTAAGGATTCCCTTAATCTTTTTAACTGAAGCCCCATTATCAATAAGTTGGTTTACAGTGTGTAGCTGACTGTGTATATCTCGTGAGCTTTTTGGTGTGCGGAAGGTTTTAGAAGGGAGGGTGGAGTTTGTTGAAAAAGGGTTTCGGTTGTTATCTCTAAGCTTCTGCTTGGTGTATACATGCTATGGATTAAATGGTACAATACCAGTAGTAGCGAAGGACTGCTCAATATTTCGCTTAGTAATTGCTAGAATGCGAGCATCATGTAGCAGAGGAATAAAAACTGACTTCTTGATTCCCTTCTCACTATCCCGGCTATAGTTGTCGACCTCACAGTCATAGGAGTTCTGCAATGGGCTAAAAATTTCCATATCTAAGAGTTGGAGAAGGTGTGTTGAGTGCGATGGAAGACAGAATAGGATAATATTTTTTTGCTTACAGAAGTTGACAAACTCCCAGGTGATATGGGAGCCATGTCCATCTAGTATGAGTAGTCGTGGGAGGGGGGCTATGGAGGCTGTACATGGCTCAAATAATTCAGTAACCCATTTTAAAGCAACCACATCATCTGTCCAGCCATTTCGAGAGAATGAAAAGCGGTAATTAGCCATCGTAGTTGTTAAATTCGTGTACCAGTCCTTGTATTGAGCACTGCCTTTACTAATCACCATGGGTGGAAGTGCATAACTAGCGGCACAAATCGTTTCAACCACAGTCACCATTTCTCGATTGCCTTCTTGAGTGACTGGGGGGTTTCTTCGCTTTCGGTGGCAGATAACCTTCACTCGTGCTGCAATCCCCATCAGGAACCCTTTCTCATTCATATTGAAAATCTGAAAGGGCTTCAGATTGTGTGCTTGAATGATTCGGGAGAGTTTGGAAAAATAGTCTTTTAATAGCTGTGGACAACTGGCATGTGCCCTCTGACAGTCCAATTTTGTATTAAACTTAGTAGCCATATCAGGATGACGGTCCAGAAATCTTGTAATCCAATTTTTCCCTAAACTCTTTTGCTTATCTCCTGTTCTCTTTTCATAGAGAAATAGCGCTATACTTTTGACCATATCTAACTGTGGTGGAAAACCCCGGTTATCCTGCTCCTTACACCATGCCACAATCGCTTTCTCCTCCAAGTTGGTAATTAACTGATTATCCACCTGTGCGATATGGCGACTGGTTCTCTCTCCAGTGTAGCAGTAATAGAGAGTTGATTTTGGAATATCAAAAACCTCTGCAGCAGCCCCAATGCTAGCCTGCCGACCTTCCTTTAGAGACCGAATCGCAGCTGTAATACGTGTCTCACGACCTATAGTATCACGCTTCTTGACCTTGGGCATTGTTGTGTTTTGGTGGCGGTTGTTGGGTTTTCGAGCGGGGTAACTACATTCTGAGGTTGTTTAATTTTAGTGTGATTGCGCCATTCCGCTTCCGGGTGATGTTCCGGATCCACGTGATTTACGTTAGTCATGCCACTCGAGACGCCCGACTAGCAAATCGGAAGCAGCGCCCCGTCCGAGATTATCGATGATAAACATTACTTTCAGCACTCCCTTATTACAGACCTGCCAGTGCATGGGCTTGTAATGACCTTTAGTTTCCGTCCCCGATCATTACGTTGGGTCCTTCGTCCCCTCTAATGTTCCTAACCCCGGATCGACCAGCCGAATTCTTGTCGGTCCCGCGCCACGACCAAACTGCCTTAGGGCAATCTGGGCAGCGCAGGCTAGCTTGCTACGAGTTGTGCAGCGCAGGGTGGGTGGGTTGAGCTTGTTTTTGGGTTTGGGTTGGGCATTGGGTCGTCTTGTTCTCGGTGGCTTATTTGGCAGGCTTGTTGTACGGAATTTCCCCAACATTTTCTTCTTGGACCCCCCCCACACTTGTGATTCAAACGGATGTTGTTTGATTGGTATTTTCTACTTTCCCTGTAGTACCTTTCATTAAGGTTAAGGTAAAAATTTAATATGAAAGTTAAGAGTGCACGAGAGCTAGCCCTTCTAACAAACCGTGATCCGCAAATTTATTTGATACCCTCCCTCCAAATAAACCAAAGAACAAACAAGTGACACCCATTCAACATACTTTCAATACCTGTTCAGCACCAGGCGTATTTGGCGTCATCCCTTTCGGCAAAGAACATGAACACGGCTGCGGAAACCATCTCTCCATCACACTCTATACACACACCCTCCTTTGCACCTCCCACATGGTCCTCTTCGACTAGGCCCTTCTTTTGTCGATGCCCAATACCATTCCTCACCATAGGTCCGTCGTATCATATGCCAAATGCCTCTGCGAAGTGGAAACCCTTTCGCGAATATAGAATATAGAACCTTTGTATAACTCTATTCCCATTCTCTCACCCAAACATGCACTGTATCATCCTTCGAAGCTTTCCCATAAGGATATACACAGTTTTAGTCTACCCTGAAGAGTTGTTCCCAGACACTGGTTAACTCGGCTCTCGTGTGGGAGAGTTCCCAACACTCAGGTTGGAGAAACGGGACACCGAGGTCGCGGAAAATTATTTAGTGGCCGAAGCAGAAGCCAGGCCAGTGTAGCTGTTTATTGGTTTTCCATGCCTCCACGCAATTTTCCTAAGTCTGTACAGATTCTTGTTTCCAAGATTCCCTTTGCGGTGGAGAGAGAAAGGCAGAAATAGGGGAGATAACCCGGATCCACTGGGTCAGCTCGAGAATCAATGGGTTGTCTCTGCGGCGATCGTGTTTACTCGTGGTGGTGAGCGCGCCATCGTGGTCTTCCATCAGGTTATCCAAGGATATCTACTGCGTCCGCCTTCCGCACTGCCGACTTCGCCTCTTGGGTGCACAATAGGGGTCTCCAAGAGAGGCCATTGGGATCTGAAAGAAAATTTCTTTTCCTATGTCAGCACACGCCCTCGGAAGCAGGGGGATTGGGCTGGGCCATTCGCAGTAGAGTATCATACTGGGATGCAGATTTCATTCAGGCATGATAGGACTTATCACCAAATATACGAGTGATCGCTGATGACTAAAAACGCCATGGGCCAGCATCCGATAATAGCAATTAAAAGGTTATCGTACTGTATATCTCTAACAAAAACATCGCATGGGGGGATAGACATCCTGTATTATAGGATCCAGCGAGATACAGGCTAGCACTCCAGTAAAAAAAATACCGATTTTAACCTTAAACAAATCATCTGAAGCTATGGTACTTAACCACCCCCAAGCACTCCTAGGCTCAGTGGCTTGCAATTGGGACATAAGAGTCCATATAAACACACAGCTTCCCTGCTAGTCATAATGGACTCCGTCCTCTTCACAGACATACTGCAAAATCATCTCACACGAATGATATCGTCTCATCTAGCCTTCACATCAGTCCACCCTTCCAATACCCCCCCCCCCTTCATAAAATCCCAGCTCCTCGCAAGCCCTAATATTTTCCTGTCAAACATAAGCCCTGAAGCCCTTCTCAATTCTGGAAACTGTAAACCCGGTATTCTCAGGGCAATTTCTCAGCGTCTCCTCCTCGTTCAACTCCCCCAATACGGCCCCCGAACATAGAGGATTATTCAGGTGAACGTGCCTATAGTTCCTTTCCCCCCACCATCTGGGTGGAGACTCTGTATATGGCGAACGAGCGGGTGGAGTGCGCATCCGGGAAACTAGGTGTGTTTCCTTCCATGTTAATCGTTTACACTTCGTGTAGTGTTCTTGTTGATCCCGTCCTAGACCAGTTCAATTGTTTTAAAGAGCCGTCGACGGCTTAGATTTTCACGAGGTGACTGAGGCTCAGGGTGATGTCCTCTGGGTTCGCCCGGGCTGCAGGCGTTGATGAGTGATGAGGATGGCTAGAGAAACCCGTTGTTGGAAATGCTAAGGAGAGGTTGTAATAGCCTGCTGCTTGTGTGCATCCTCCGGCGTCACTCTCGTACCTGCTGGCGGCATTGTTGGGATGTTTGGTGAATGCTACCTTGTGCTCCCCAACCTTTGCAAGGTGCCCTGGGTATTGAGTTTTGGATTTAGGAACTATAAGAAGAGATTGTGGAAGAGGACGGGTACCTAGGGGGAGGTGAAGCTTGAAAGCTTACATTTGAATATCGATATTGCAACTCTGAAGACTTTACTAACCGTGCGTATATTCCGCCAGCTGGATGGCGAATACATATCTTGAGAATATTGCTGGGACCCGCAAACTCGAGTCGGCTGGATAGTGCCAATAGATCTCTCCATCGCCGAGTGAGAGAGGTGTGAGACCGAAAGTTTGCAGAAATATGCCCATGCGGCGTTTAGCTATGGCTTCCCATTGCACTATCGACTCACCTCTCCATAGCTAATCCCATCCCATGCACAGTTCTCACTCGAGCCCTCACAATCAGCCAAGATGGAAACCCTTGGTTGATCGAGTTTCCTCAGATAAAATTGCGGCATCCCATGCTGGCTCAACAGCTAAGTAACGTAAGAGCCAAGCATTAGTACCTCAGCCGGCTGAGGCTCTACACACTTAGATGGGTTTTTATGTGGTGAGATGACAGGACATTCAGGACCTGTAGATCTGATTTTGCATTGGAGCTGAGTTACACACCAAAAGACTGTCCTCGAATACATGAGCAGCTTGCTTTCGCCCCCCAATATAGTAGGATCCCTCGAAACTCACTATCAGATTATCAGCGGAAATCACCTCCTTGGCCCACGATAAATCTAGTTTGACAGGTTAACAGGGTTGCGAACACCAGTTTCCAAGATCCAGATGGCTCAGGATATAATATTCCAGGTCAGGAACGCGCCAATCCCTCTCGGGAGCTATGGTCTCCAAATCCAGAGATTAGAAACCCGCAGGAGATGGCGGATTATAAGAATTCTTGCAGCAGTGTCTGACCCCAAAAAAACCTGGAAATGTGGAAACTATTCCTCGAATCGCAAGGTCCGCATCCACCCCGAGTAAGCCTAGAAAGTCTCTATGGCAGCCACCCCACCTCCCGTACGATACTACAAATATCATACTACAAGTACAACAACTCCAACCACCTCTATTGCAATAGGATTTGGGGGCAATATGTGTGGAAAGTTAAACGTAAAAATGCAGACCTCGACGTACTAAAGTAATACTGGTGAAGGAATATCTCAGGAGAGAATGAAGGAAGAATTACTTGAGGCATGAGAGGAGTTGAATCAATACTGATAGCTGAGCGCTTGCCTGTCAATGGTAATAGTAATTACCATGGATAATCTGTTTATAAAATACATTCGTTTGGACTATTTAGCAAGTTGGTGATACAAGTAGGTTGTTGAGCTATGGTACTTGTATCATAGTTGAGGATGGGCTTAATCGGTTGTCATGGAGGTTTAAGGGGCTTGTTCACGAGTATGCAAAAGTCAGAAGCACAGTTGCTTACTCGAGGGAGGCCCTGTTAACGACCGTTCCGTTCCGTTTTGCGGCCGTTTTCCATACAAAAATGGTGGTCCTTCCGTTTTGAAACGGTCACTTGGTAGGAGTAGAAGCACAACAATCTTCGTTTCCCAACTCTTTGATAATGGCGTTTAGCCCAGAGGAATGGTTCGTGCTAACCAAAGCCTACCCCGGATTTTTAGTGATTTTCAAATAATTATATTCTCTCTCCCAACAAAGATATAAAATTAAATACAAAAAAACCTCTATATTGTATGATAGAGAATGTCAAGGAGAATAATCTAGTCGTTGTTTCACCATAAGTAAAGTTCCTCACACCCTGGTATAATCATTTGAAGTGGGGAATTTTGGGTGGGAAAAAGGCCGTTTCCACATACAAATAGGGCCGACCCATTCGAAACTTACTGCCGCATGCAAAAAGGTTTTTTCAACCTAACTTAGGGGCTGGATGCCCTTATTATCCTAATATTATTATTATCATAATATTATGATATTACTGGTAATCAAACTGAGAGGACAAGTGGCCCGGTTTTAGTTGTCTGGCACTAATCAAGTACAAAAGCGGCAGTACGGTTGGAGAATACCTGCTGTCAAGTTGTGCATTCACCACCACCATCCCAACCACCACTGTTATGAACACAAAATCATGACGAATGTGACTCCAATATTCAACGAATTTCTTTCCACCCATCCAGCAGTCGCTGTGATCCCTCCAGACCGAAAGCCCCCTCCACCCAAAGATGAGTTTCTCAAGGAGGCACTCCGAATCGTGAGGGCGCACCCTCCTCTGACGTAGCCAAAAAGTCTCAACAGCTAACACAAATATTCCAGGAATCGCACATATCATCCTTAGCGAAATATCTTCTCTCTATCCGACGGGCGTACCTCTCTACAACCTCCGGTCGGCCGAATCCTTCTCGAGTGACCACCTCCAGCTCCGCTTCATTACTCGCTCGTAACAATCGGTCAACATCGCTTACAGATGCACAACGTGACGCCATCGATGCGGAGACGAAGGGCGTTATTCAGGAACTCTTGACTGTCATATCCCGACTAGAAAGCACTGAGAAGGTCAGGGCGCAGACGGAAGAAGCCCTGCTCCGGAAACGCTACTCTTCAGGGTTGCGCGGTATCTTTCGTGACGAGACGGAGGAGCGAGAAATGGAGGAGGATAAACTTAGGACGCTGAGCGTTCACAGAGAAGGGGTGCTGTGGTTACTAAAAACAGGATTGGAAAAAGCCAGTGAATTGCAGAGAGGGCAGCAGGAAATTCGGCTTCAGCGACAGGTCGAAAGAGGGAAGAGCATCTTGTGCAAGGCTCCGCCCGGCTTTCCGCCACCGAACCATACAAGTTTGCCAGTGACCAGCTCTTCTAGGTCCGTAGCCCCAACGGGGAGAAGTGTCTGGTTAGAAGACGAAGAACGGAAGAATATAGAGAATATTCTTACGGAAGAGCAACTTCAACTCTTTGAGAAGGAGAACGGAGACTTGATGAAGCATTATGAAGACACTCTGGATCAAGTCAAGTAAGCCCTTGCCAATACCCTTTCTCTGTTAGGCATAGAGCTGATCGCTACCTCCCTTAGGTCCGCAGAGAAATCTCTCATCGAAATTTCCTCTCTACAAACTCAGCTAGCGACAAACCTGGCCACCCAGAATGCACATATAGACAACCTCGTTGTTGATTCAATGTCGACCACCGAGAACATCCAAAGGGGAAACAAAGAGCTGAAGAAGGCAGGAGAAAATATCTCGATAGCTAGGTCAGCGTTCTGGGGTACTGTAGCGTTTTCCGGAGTTGTTTTCATTTGGGATTTGTTCATATAATTTCTATGATAATTTCCTTCCCCCACGCTCGAGGCAAGGGCACTTACAGCTATTCACGCTATGCCAATCTGTATTCTTTGCTTGGTGGTTTGTGCTCCTTCTATTCCTAGGTGTCCCAAACTCATTGATTCCAATGCGTGGACCGGGCCTGCGAGAATGAGCCAGTAGAATAGCAGTTTCTTCCACACTTACCCGACGGGGAAGTGTGCCACCATCCCACATAGAAAATCGAGCTTTTCACCAGCAGGTATCCCAACAACCAGGTCTCTAAAGAACAAGATCGAATAGGCAATCGATATATGATAGAGCATAACATCAGGTAACATGTCTGTATAAACAATAACTCTTTGAATAATTGCAGCCCACCAAGAGGAGGTTATTGCCCCTACCTAATCTCCACACCCAAATCTTGCCCCAAGTCTTGCAGAGGGCTAGAGCAGTATTCACAGCTCTTTCAATTGGAATCTGAAAACTGTGTTTTAAGGGATGAAGACTTCATGTTCTGAGTTTCCAGGAGCCACTTCAGTTGTAGTAGGGGTGAGATGGGAGGTGATCCAAAATGTTCACCATTACCCAGAGAACAGCTAGAGCAAAACCAGCAATATCATAAATACCACAAGAGTGGGAAAAATTTGAGCTGTCTTGTGATAGATTACCCAAACACCACTTGGCCGATCCGAAAATAATTACCTCAAGATTTCTTTTTAAATGGATTAACTACTCGAGTATTTAAGCCTTAGTAATGCTTTAGGTGTTTTATTTTACTTCTTCTCATTATGATTGTGGAGTAGCTGAAAAAGTTGATTTTGCTGTGTTCATAGTTCGTGATTCGGATAGCTATGATACATGTGGAAAAATCATCAATCCTTGTCGTGGCCATCTCTCCGATTGAAATCGCGCTTACCGAAGGCAGTGGGGAATAACGGCCGGGTAATTCGCACTCTTTGCCCTGTGCCCGAGTGATCACCCGAGACCATTCTCAGCCTTGAGGCTCTTATGCCAACACCTTGAACCTGCAAGTAACTTAGCATATAAGCCTGCTGAATTTGTTTCATCCATCAACAGCTCGCGGAATACCAGCCAACAGCTTCTCTCTCAGTGAAAACATCGCTCGAGTTTCAATAGAGGTGGAGGGGAGGATTGCTTCTTCGAGAAATAAAATCACGAGGGTTTTCTCTTCCTAACCATCTCTCTCTTCGTCCGAGCAGATCAGCCAAACTCGTTGGCAAGTCTCGCTGGTCTGTCTCCCCACTTCCGCGCCCTCTGCGTGGTCACTCCTGGTCGTAACACCCATCGCTTTTTGGAAATACTACTTCACAAACTCTCACAGGACGCGCTGTCCACACTCACTTCCCGGTTCGAATAACATTGACACCCCAGCGGGATTTGAGAATGGTATTGCCCGACGAATCTCCCCTAGTTCTATCTCTTCACTGGTCAGACGGTGTCACAACATGGCAGGACGGCGCAAACGGCCCAACGGATGACATGCTAGATACAACACCAGAGGCCAATGGCGATCAAGATTACTTTCGTCCTGTAGAACGCTATAGCCCTAAGGAGATCCAGTGGCTTCAGAAGTTAGCAATGTGGCTAATAGAAACTCAAGATCCGGAGCTCTTCAAGGGAAGAAAGTTTGTTTTGGCTGAACTACCAGCTGGCTACCGGCTCTATGAACATGTTAGAGTGCCAGGAGCTGTGGGTTATACCCTTGTCCCTTTCTGCTCAATCCCTTTAGCTTATAACTAATTTTACGCAGAACTCGTCAATAAAAGCGCGTACAGACACATACCTCTACGGCCACCCTAAAGGTCCTCGAAAACGCTACAGATCGATTACAGAATTTAGACAGCATTTTCTATGGCTGGCCTCCGACACGAACAGGAACCCCAAGAATTGCGAGTGTAGGATTTGCTGTGGGAAGAGTGAGGTTACGGCAGAGCCAATTGTGGATACCCCTGCTCAAACCTCGGCCATAAGCACGAGGGGCGCTGCCGCCAAAGAGCGAGCTGCTGTCGCTGCGCAAAATGCATCCCCTAGAGCGAAGGTTGCCAGGAGAACTGCTACAAATACAGCTCTGGCTGTGGCATCCCCAGCTCCGACAGCTCCTCGCCGATCAACGGCCACAACAGTGAACACTCGCTCGAGTAGCTCTACACCTGCCCCTGCCCTCCCAACCGCTGCACCATTTCATCCACACCATATGTCTTCTTCACACACCACTCTGGAACGTGCACTTGACGCCGCTCCAGGGAAAAACATTTTTCGCCCTGGTGAGTTGGTCTGGTGCCACTGTACGGAGGCTTGGTCTTTGGGCGTTATAGTAGCTCGACCCGACCCCGAGTCGCTTGGTTATACTGTCCAAGTTTTAAAGTCTCCATTAGAAGCTGAGATGTCAAGACCTTATCCCGGGATTACGCTCAGAGGATTAAGGCCCTGGCTTGCTTGGAGCACTCCCGAAATCACAATACCATCCTTGCGCACTAGCATGGATTTTGAATCCATAAACTGGGACCAGTTTCGAGATGTTCGTGGTCTTGAAGTTGATGCTAGCATTTTAAAGTCTAGGGATATTGATACGTCTTATTGCTTAGTTGATAAGATCGACTACCCCCATGCCAATTTCTATGCCGGCGTCTTCTACGGGGCCGAGAAGATCTGGATGGGAGAGATTGTCAGGCTGAAAAGACATGCTGTCCCTCAAGCGAACCTAACGGGTCTCGAAATCATGATAGTAGTGAGCATTCAAGACCATCGAAAACAGCCCCCGAACAAGACCAGAACCTTTAGCACGGACATAACAGTCATGGGTGATATCTACGAATTCGTCACTTACCCATTCCCCACCTCGCCGCCTCCACAAATCCCCCAGTGGCTCCCGCCAAGGCTAATCAACGAAACAAAACTTAAGAACAAAGTCACTTCGCGCGCCTCCAGCAACCCAACAGTGGGAACCTGGCGCTGCATTCAAAACGGGTATTCGGTAAAACTGGAGGACATCAAGGGGAGATGGTACGAGTCTTCAATCCTCATACCAGAACTCAAAGGCATCCAGAAATTCACCCAGAATGTGCAAGGCGGGAAATGGGATGAATTAGCAACTCAGATGAACGAGATGGGAAATGCAGGACAGGCTCCCGCTCGTGGGTGGCTGTGGAGCGCTAGACGGGATGAGGTTCTTACAAAAGCCGTTCCCAGAGGCTTCGCTCTCGAGAAGGATTCTGCCATGAATAGTCAGGGCGCGCAGCCCGGATTTGCGGTTCAGATTTCGATACAGCAGGCACAACAGCAGCCTCCAGCTGTAGCGGCCCCAGCAGAAATGGTGGACTTGACCGGTGAAGAAGACGACTACGTGCCTCAGGAGGACCAACAGCCCAGTGATGATGAAGCACTCACGAGGCAGATGGAAGCGGATGTCGCAAGCTTTTTTAGAACGGAACCTGTGGATTCATTTTACGGTAGTTTGTAGAGGGTAGTGAAATATCTGACCTCTTTTCCCTCCTTTTTTTTTTTTTTTTGCAATTTTACAATATTCTCGTTACAGCACGAGACCTATCTCTACATGTTTGAACGTTTTCGGGTGATTTTAAAACTCTTACCCCCATTTGTATTATCATACCACACCCTTTTCCCTCCCCATCCCCTTTCCCTTTTTGAATCACTATACTACCTTTTTTTCTCCCTTTATTACCTTGCCACCTTGGGAGTTTTGGCATCAAATTAAAAGCATGCGGTATGATTTGAGAGATATATTTCACTAGCGTTTTATTCCATTGGGGCTCAATTGCTTCTTTCGTTCCTTTCTCCCTTTATTTCTTTTTTGCTCATGGGAACGGATTTTCAAGAGTTACCAGGACGTTAAAGTTAATAGATGACGAGCCCAAAGTGCCTGATTTAAGCTCGATTTTCCCCACAATAAGCTTTGGTGGAAGTGCATCCTTGAAGTTAATTTGACTTTATCCAGCGCAAATTGGGCCGCGCCACGGCTTGTAGGTGTAGCAATGCGCAATAAAAGGGTAATAATAATAGTAGTAGATTCTCGGGTAATAATTGAGTTATCATCAATACAGGAAAGGATATAGCTAGAAAGATTCTCCAGGCATGACCTCCTTAACCAGAAAGCAGCAGGGAAACAGACCAATCAATAACCATACAAGAGTGACAAAGAGGAACAAGGAGAAAGAGACAAAGAGAACAAGAAAAATAAACAACCAGGTCTGGCAACAGGAATAAATATTCTGAATGAAGCCTTTGAGTAGTATAAACAGTAGGCTCCCACTATGTGCCTTTACCTACTCACCCACTATAATAGTAGTAGTTGGGCGTCACCATCGAATTACACTTGTAGCGAGTGATACCTCATGCCCAGTCCCCACGGACGGTACCCTCCAGAAGACCTCACTTAAACCCGCTTCCGTCGCCGTCACCGCGATACCACAGCTCAATTTACGATATCATACATAATATTATACTACCGGTATCGAGTTGATGAAGTTGGACAACCCACAAAACCCCATGATCGCCAGACCAATAAATGGACATCTCCAAAGTGCCAAACCGATTAATGTGATTTCATACCTTAGCCAGACAGGTATCATACAGTACTCCCCAGGAGCCCTAGGAAGTTCCCTCATTAGGTTATTATTGATCGAGCAAGTGTTCTTGAATTGATGTGAGCAGTTTCCAGGTCACGCATACATACCCCTCCCCACTTGAACTTCTATCATAGAGCCAATGGCGATTGACAGCGGGAGTGAGTTTGTCTATTGGACATCATAGATGTTTTCGGATATTCCTTGGGAGATATTGTAGACTTTTATCCCGGGTTTGTTCTTAAGGCGAGTACTGTAATTGTACAGTACAGTTAGTGTGATATGATATGGTACTTGGGTGAGTACGAGAAATTTGCCGTCATATCGTAGGGGAATACGGTAGGCTATGTGGAACTGTATTCTTTTTTTTTTTTAGTATGATACCCTATGTGATTATTGATATTTTGTGAGTTGCCTTCGCCCCTCTCCATGAACCACGCCCTAAGTCTTCCCTCTGCCTCGGATCCAATGGTTGGGACTTGAGGTAGACTACCGGACTATCAAAACCGGCCTCACACTGAGCGTTAAACAACCGGCAACGCAATCAACCGCAACAAAATAGCAGGGCTAGGTATAGGAGAAATCTGTCTGGTATTTAGGTTAAATAGTAAAACATATTTACATGAGGAAATTATGAGAAAACAATTCCTGAATGAGATTTTCATGTTTGAAAAGTGGAGCATTTTGTACGAGTATGATAGGATACGATACGTTGGAATCTGAGCCTCATTACATAATTGGCAGGAACCTTGGAGCGTTGAGTTCTCTCAATCCCCCCACCATTTACCCTCACTGAATTCTACTGGACTCTTCTCTCCTTATGATAACCTGCTCTTCTGTCCTCTCACCTGAGACTACACCCTTGCAGACTTTCTAATAAACTCCTCCTGCAGCGCACAGATCCGCCTCATATCTGGATTTGGTTTAGGCTCTCCACAACACCCCCCGCATCCCCGTTGCCGGCCTTGTTTCGTCGCGTCGCGGGAACGGGGACGGGCAGCATCATACTCTACCGTGCACGGCATGACAACTGTTCCTCCTCCACCCACCCATCACCGCGAACGACCCATCATCCCTCGAACCAAAAAGACAGAAACTCTAAAAGAATTCCAAAACTCCACACATCGCCCCCAACAAGCCCAACCACCGCCGTCATGTTCGCAATAATCTGCCCCGGTCGACCCGGTAACATTCCCCCCCCCCACTCCCAATTACTGGTGCTGACAAACTGACCACAAGTCATAACTTCCCTTCACTCCATAAATCCCACCACTTTCGTCCAAACCCTCACACTCCCTGTAAATCACATAGTAGTATTTCTACTACCAGACACGCACATACCACCAACCCATGCGGCGAGTGTCCACATACAATTCCCGAACCAGCCGTTTCGCATCCTGGGTGCTATATCTGCTGCTAAACCGAGTGCCATATTCCGGGTCGATGCCAAGGCCTTGGAGGGCGAGGTTGTTGTAGGGGTTAGTATTGAGGAGGCGGGGAATGTTGCCTGGAAGGTTGGTGAGGGGGCGGGAGTGCCGGGGGGGAAGGGGAAACAGGTCGAGACGGTGGTTTTGGCTAGGAGGATTATTACGGATGCGTTTAATTTTTTAAGTTCGTTCGCGAGCGCAGCTGATGGGAGTCGTGGTGAGCGTGGGTGGGAGGAGCTGGTCCCCTTAAAGGCCTTTAGGGATTGGTGGGTCAAGTTTGAGAAGAAGATTGAGTTGGATCCGGGGTTTTTGGAGAGGGAAGGGGAGGATTGAGTTGAGGGAGTTACATTTGTATACCTGGTGATTCTGGGGGGGCGGGTAATGGTTCAATGAAAAGTGTTTTAGATGGGGGGAGGTGTTTTCGGGGTTGCCCTGGATTCCTCGTAACCAGGATGAGAGTGAAACCGCTTAATACTATGGCATAATAAAAACATCCCTTCCTTTTTGTTCGCTCGTAGCTCTATGGCTGTATATATACACATCCCGTTTTGTCCTTCCATCTACAACGCCGGCAGAAAACAAATAGAAAAAAGAGATATTAAGAATATGGTAAAACCCAATCCCACGGCGGAAGAAAGGAAAGGAAAGGAAGTTAGCTTAGTGATGCAGGGGCTAAAAAAAAAGAGTAACTTGATCAAGCAAAGGGAAGGATGCATAAAACGCCTAATACAGACACTATCGTGGAGGCATTGGACTTCGAGCCCTGGCACTACCTCCTCGCGGAGAGATATCCCCACCTCTTGTGGTCATTGGCAATCTCTCCCTACTACCAACTCGAGTGCCCAATCCAGACCTAACAGCATCGACACCAGTTCCTCCAATCGGTGGGTCATATAAAGATCCCTTAGCCCTCCAACCACCGGTTTCGTCATCCGAAGATGAAGAGGAAGACACACTGCCGAGCTCAAAGTCGGTGAATTGGTTGTGCCCTTCCTCCATAATCCTTTCGTACATCACAACACCGTGACTTCCCAGGACCTTCCGTTTCCCACGCCTGCCAGAGATTTTAACGGCTCTCCAAAACCTTCCTCTACGCTCCCGGCCCATCAGGAGGAAGCCGGCGAGGCAGAATATGAGGAGGAATAGCAAGAGCCCGGGGATACGTCTGGGGGTCTTGTCACCTTCCTTCCAGAGCGAATCATGCCAGTGGGCTTGATCGCTGCTGCCATCCATGCTGAAATTTGATCCCCCAGAACCACCCGACATACCTGAATTATCGGGATGATGCGATGCTCTCTGAGGCGCAGCGTACTCGAAATCATTAGGAAGACCATTATCGCCTATTACGTTCTTCCCAAAGCCAACAGCATTTACTCCACCATCACGTGGGGGAATCTGACTGGCTGCGTAGAGAACCATCTTTCCCAGCGTCCATGAAACTTCCACATCGGCAATTTTATCAACCGGCTGAAAAGGGTCGAGGAATCCCTTCGATTTGGCAGCCTCAATCACTTCCTCGGTTCCGTTATGGTTTGAATTGCCGCTGGTCTCGAGCCCAACACGTGGAATCCCGATGCCATTGTGTAGAACATTGATCAGCCAACTCGCCTTAAAACAGGTCTGCATAGCCTTTTCTTCGTCAACCCGTTTCCCCCACTTTTTCTTCTCCACAAGTTCTTCGATAGTATCCCAATCTTGGCTACAAAACTCCTTCACCCTCTGTTGATAGGTCGCAAAGTCGTAGGCTTTCGCATCATGCTCGGTCTCGAAAATCTCGTGAGTGGTGTGCCAATATTCGGATACACCAACAAAGTGATTGATATCAAAGTCGATAGCCGGCGCATGGCCCTCCTTAAGTAGGCAGGAGACCTCCTTACACGGCAAATGATCCTTCTCTAACAGCGGATATGTCTGACGCAGACATTCCTCGAACTTTCCAGTTCCAATCAAATGGGCTTTCTCATCAGGCACGTAGTCACTATCAATCTTCTTCCCGTCCAATGTGGACCTCAACCCCTTGGGCAAGCACGGGTCTGGCAATTCGATGACACCACCACCGGAGCTTGCCTCAACCAAAGTATCGATATACCTACCCCTTGCCTGGTTCACTCCGAACCCAAGCCAAGTGGTCACAAACACCTTATAATCCATCGGATCGCCATTCAAATTCCTCATTTTCAGCAATACCAGATCATCGGCGTGTTTCTCCGCTTCCGTCGCATTCGGTGCGAAAGCAATCTGCGCGCTAGCCCCTCCCATATCCAGAAATCCGTATGTGTGATGTCCCTTCCCGTGTGCGTGCGTTTCCGGGTCATCGAAACCACCCAACAGGTAGTTTGCCGAAATCCAGCCATACAACCCTTCCGTCTCGCCCGCAATAACCTGGATGTGAAGGCCGCAATCGGGGAGGAGAAACTGTGTCGTCCGACGAGCATATGTGCAAATCTCGTCGAGCAATGTTTTCCGCTCTAAATCTGGCAACAACCTCATTCCAGCCGTAGCGAGCAAGAATAATGGCGTATGGGCGATGGCATCCTTTGGTATTTGGCTAAGCGCATGTTCGAACAAACCATTCAAATGATCCTCCCCAACCCGTTCCGGATGCTCGCCGAACGTCGAAATACCTGAATGAAGCCCGTTAGAATCCGAAGTGTCGGATGGAACGAAGTGGCAAACGAACCAGGATTGATCTTCTTGGCCCATTTTTTGTTTGTGTTTATCCTAGGCAACCTCCGCAGCTCATCCTTCCTCCCCTTCCTCCGTGTCTCTACAGGATCCTCCCAGCTGTAGATATGAATACGAGTCCCGCTCGAGCCGGCGTCAAGTATCACTCCGTCTACATCAATCAATGAATCAATCAGCATTCGGATCCAAAGGGGGGGGTACGAATGAGAGAATAGAAAATGGAAAAAACTCACATTTCTCAGGCATAACGGGCGGCTAAACAAGAAAATTTCAGAAACTCCTCCTATCCGATCCTGAAAAAGAATGAAAAAGTTTACCAGAAGCAAACCCAAACGGACGGACGGACGACGATGGTTCCCCTTAGTGAAAAAAGTGCTGTATGTATGTAGAGAAGGGAAGGAAGAGGAAGGAAAAGAGAGGAAAGGTGCCGTAAGCAGCGGAGATTGTGTAGAAAAGGCAGAAGCGGATGGCAAGTAGGACAGCGAGGCTTCTCTTCCGTTAGCACCGCCAGAAAGTACGAATTTGGGTGCTCGTATTGACGCAGCAATGCGAGTACGGTAGTGGTGCTTGGCGGGTAGACTAAATAACGATAATAATACTTTCATCACAACAAGCAAGACATAATAAACAAAGTGTCCGCTTTCCTCGTAACCAACTACCGGTATGATACAAGTATGAAGGGAGGATACTCGTAGAATCGAATGAAGCCGGAAGGGAACGGACGAGTGGGAATTCGCCGCTTGTCTCGGGTCACTGTCTTGGCATCCTAACTGCAGCTTTTTATAATCATAAATATTATTATGATTCTGAATAGCATTGATCCTCACTGCATGATCTTACTCTTCTCTCCCTCCAGAGGCAAGGAAAACATGAAACGCTTATTGATGAGAACACAGCCAAACCCAGCCCTGTTAAGGAGAGAGAAAGAAACATCCCGAGCTGAACATTCGTCCCTTCTATTACTCGAGTATACAAGTACAAGTACAAGTACTAGTACCGGTACCGGTAGACCACACGCTTTCTCTCTTTAACTTTCAGCCGAACCTGCGGCCAGTACTCGTAAGTTAGGTAGTTTATGGTATGATAAGAGTGACTTCACCCAATCCCATAAATAGAAGCCAATCCCCCAAACAAAACAAAAATAGATAAAAAGAGAGAGAGACCACCCAGCACCACCCACAACGACTGGCCAAAAAAAAAAAACTTCCCTCCGCCCCCCCGCTCATCACTACGTAGATTACCATCACAGGAAGCAAGCAAGAAAGAAAGAAAGAAAGAAAGAAAGAAAGAACGAAAGTGCACGTGGAAGGCGTTCACATCTGCCGTTAACCGCCATCCCGCACTTACCGTACATCCTGACTTCGGCATAAGCTCCAGATAAGGTCTGGATCTACGGGGGAATCTTTCAGGAATTTCTTGGGCTGTGGTGGCGGTGGGGTTAGCGGTTGTATATGTTGGTTTCTGAAGACATTGCGGGTTACAAGTGGGCCACAGTATTGTACTGTACAGTACTCTACTCGAGTGTGATAGACCACCGGTACTCGTCAAGATCAAAAGTCTGCCCCCGGCTTTTACCCTTGCACAGACGACCGCTATTCTACTCGTACACCACACCTTGCTTGCAGGGATTGCACTCGCTTCTCATAACTTCTCAACACCGCTAGAGACACTAGTTTATAGTGATATTTATTTATGAGCGATAGCTATTGACACAATTCCCTTATCGTGAAGGTTGCCAGAGGAAGAGAAAATGCCCTATTGCCACCGGCGGTTAATCTACTCAGGGACGGACATTTGATTTTAACGAGTATCGTGCACTAAGACCAAAAAGCACCCACGGCACGGTGCAAGAACTTGGCTTAAACTTCAGGCGTACCATGGTACTTGTTCTCGAGTACTGTACCAGTACTCTCGAAATAACCAATTATCCACCCAACCCTCGCGCCATATAAACCACACGCTCGAGTACGATAGGAACCTATGATACGCTATGGTTTCATACCCAATAACAAGTATCATATAACATCTAATATTATATCCTCCAACACCCTTCTTCCCTCTACCCCTTCCTTCCTTCCCTCCGCAATACCCACCCATGTATCCGACAAATAGTTCTACCTGGCAGGTATTAATGCGAACAAAACTTGGGTCCCCGGACTCCCCGTAGTACCGCGCCCAGATATCATACACAAGTACACTCCACAGTGATTGGCCCCCATTACCTCCCCACATCGTTCCGGCAACCCCACCTCACGCTAGTACAGATAGACAGAACACGATATTCCTGTCGATTCGACTAATCAATCATGAAAACCACCAACAGGACCGGGTCCAAAGGAAATCCAAACTTTGCTCTATTGAGCACTTTCTAGTCTCTAATCCTAGTCTTAGTCTTGAACTGCCAATCGACCCTTTTCCTCTGGCAAGAAGAAAAAGAAAAAAGAAAAAAAAACCAAACCCTTGATGCGCCATTTTCATGAGAGCGAATGCAAACCTATGTGGGGTAATCCTTAAAACAGAAAAAAAGCAGTACGGTAATTCTGCGCAGATGAGAATAAAGACCGAAAACAACAAAACTCCACAATCCTGAAAATGGTGACGGCGTTCCCATCCTAATGACGCATACACTGGAAACGGTACTCCTAGTACTTCGAACCAAACAACCCCCTCCTAGCTGTCTGCCTCTTATCAACCGCCATCAAGAAGCTTCCATAACTCCAGGTAAGATCGTGAGCTCCCCTCTGGAATCCGTCGTACTTGTCGAATTGCTCGCTCAGTCGGCCATCTGCTTTCGTGTGGTAGCGGATAACGTTGAGGAAACTGTCGGCATATGTGAACATGGCTTGCAAGTAGTTGCGGAAGTCGGAATCGCCCGAGCTGACCCTCCCAAGCTTGGCTCTTCCGGCAGGGTGGAGCCTGTCGAAGAAGGGGCGGTTGGTGCGGGTGATGTGGAATTCACCCTCGTCGATAAAGTGCGAGATGGCAGTGTAGAAAATGTCAGATACACTCGAGGTGCAAAGGAACCTGAATTGACAATGTCAACGCATTGCTCAGCAAGCTTGAACACAAGAGGTAAGAAAAATCTACCAAGGATTGCCTTCACTGGTGCGGACACCATCGTAAATATCCTCGACGTATCTTCCAATACCAACACCCCGGAGTCTCTCGTCCTCAGGATAGTAAGGTGGCTTTCGCTTATTGATGGGATGCAAATTCTGCATTTGGTTAATAAACATTTGAGTACTAGCAAGCACCTCGTCGGACCACGGGGGGTACAAGTCACTGTGACCACCATGAATGGAGCCAAGCATTATGCCACAGTCTAGTCCAGATCTATAGGGGGTGTGTTGGTATGCTTTCAGGTGTCCATTACGTCCATCCCAGAACTCGGCCTTGATGAAGCGCTTCAACGCCACCTGCTGACCATCATACCATGAGGCAGCTCCGTGGTCATCGAGAGACAGAGCAAGGTCCCTGCCTTGTACTAATGCTTTATGCTGAACAAGAGCAGTGAAGAAGTGTAAATCCAAAATTTCCTCCCAGAGGTCGAATCCGATGGCGTCCCAGTGATGAGATACATACTCCAAGTCGGATTTTACAATAGAGTTTGCTGCAAGATCGGGATTGTAGAGTTTGTTGATCCACTGTAAGGTGACGAGCTCCGGATTTGTTTGGTTAACTACTCTAATAAAGTTCATGAGAGTAAGAGCCCTAAGGGCAGGTCCATCTCTCTGAGGTCTCGCCCATGACCTATTCACCCAGTATAATGAGCAATCGCTTAAACAGACCCCTAACAGAGTAAAGGGAAATTACCCGGTAAAGGGGGTGCCGTCAACCATGAATTTTGGTTCGCCAAGTCCACCAGTAGCAAAGCTTCCACTCGGGTTAAATGTCTCCTGTATCTCAGCCTGCATATCCGCATAGCGGTCAACTATATCCCTCAACGCCAAATCCTCCGATTTTCTATATTCATTGACGATGCCTTGAACAGTTATCGCAGCGTCACGAATCCACTGGTAGAAATAATTAGGGAAAGCCTTAGAGGGAGAGGCAATGACCGTTCCATCCCGACACCCTTTAGTGTTGGTACCACCAGGGGCGATATTATCGAGAAGATACTTAAAAGCGAGACCTTCTTCAAGATCGATCCAATCTTCAAGATTCTTCACGGGCCGTGTTGAGGCCTCATACCACGTTGTGGAGTCATGAACGTAGGGCAGGGGTTCACCCTTTGAAATGGTGAACTGTCGAGCGTCGGTAGAGTGTCCGGAAACGACGTAAGCAGCTGCGAAACCGGAGCAATAACCCAGGGTAGCAACAGGGATTAGAATGGATTCAAGGAGAACCATCGTTATGAAAGCAAGAAGGCTATTTGCGTATTGGGGTTCTCCAGAACGCAGTATCGTGAACTGAGGGGAGCTGAAGTGAAGAAAGGAGCCCAAGTGAATTTCTGCAGTTGCGAAGAAATACCGTAAGTATCTCTGGAGAAGGGAACGATACTATGATGATTCCAGGAGCCTTATACTAAAACCCCAGAAGCAGGAAACCAGAGGGAGCTATAGTCGTTGCAGCAAGACCATCAGGATCCCTAGAAAGTTCGTGGCGTGGTTCCAGGTCCCGCGTGACCTCAAGAGGGGGGAGAGGGAGGAGGAGCTGAAAAAAAAAGGATGGAGTTCGAGAAGACTATTCTACTGGTTGATAGAGTTGGCGTGGTATGGCCGAACGCTTTCTTCGCCCCCAAGCTTATGTGGACAGCTAAGAAGCTTTGTACGCCGGGCAAAGCGGGGGAAAGCGCGGGGGGAGTGCATAGTGGGCGGGGAGAAGTCGGTTCCAATGGTCCACAAGGGCCGAAACCTGTGCCGGTGGCCCTTACGTATGATGCACCTACACGAGTACGTGGCGGGATTATCACGACCGACTTTCGAGTCAGGTCCATACAAGGAAAAAAAAAGTTGGCCTCGTGACGCAGTACATCCGGCTCAGGGTCCTTTCTAGAGGAGCGCCTGATCTTCCGTGATGCGGTCATGCCGTCTAACGCCGAGGATATCTTAGCCGGCGTTGTGGACATTTGGAGTTGAAGCATTAGGCAGGTGCTCTGGACCCTGAAAGGGAACCTGTAAGGTACCGCAACGAACTTCTGGAAGACCGCGCGGTAAGTTACCTAAGAATGAAAACAAAAGCTTTCAATTCTGACTGCTGCGACAACAGCGTTGGCAGTTCTTCGGCTCGGTCCGCGGAGACAACTCTCAGAACCACCCCGAGATGGGTCTCGAGTCTCGACGCACCAGTTTTCCGTTGAAATTTCGAAGGCAAGAGGCCATAATAGCGACTAGATGGAGAAATATTTTAGCATTATTTCGGATTGGAGGAAAGTGGGGATTCATTGGAGCACCTTTTTTATCTTTTCCCCCCGAAATCTTGGACCCCACGCGAAGCCCATAGAACGAGGAAACGCCGATTCCAGGAGCCCAAGGCCGAACATTCCAGTGATCTCGTTTGGGCACAAATTTATCTCCACAAATTAGTGCTGAGAAGCAAAGGTTCGCGGGTTATGGGTGAAATTTCTTCGCGATTTTCGAGAGTGATCGCGAAGGACTGGGCTTGATATATGGTTCGCGGGAGCAGCAGCCCAGTGCACACTTCGCACCCTGTTGTGCACTGATAAGGGAGGCAGATAGATAGACATCGGACACCCAACTGGTACCAGTATCGCTTCTCACTTTTCGCTTCTTGGGCCGGTTCCCCAGGACCACTCGGCCATTACAGGTATGGCACCACTGCAATACTCGAGTAGAGAGTTTGCGCAAACAGACTTGGGTGGTATTAACCCAAATTGACGACAAAGCTTGGCCACCTCATATTACAAGTGCGGTCGGTCGTGGTGTAAAAACGATCTCGAATTGAGTGCCCTAAATGCCAACTTCCACGACAACTTTTATGCACGTTACTTTTATTCCTTTATCGGGGTGTGATTTTGTAGCCGTGCTGCTTAAGTGTGATTTCACCGAGAGGAGTTACAGGATATTTGAGAATTTGCCATCGTATGGCCTCTTGAGAGAACGAAGCTGAAGAAGTGACTTCCGACACTTGTCAGAAGTCTCATGGGCCCTCGGTGCGAGGGACAAACTCTATTGTAGCAACGCTAGACCTATTGATAACTTCCACCCAGGTCCGGGTGCTAGTGCGCATATCCTCTAATGCCGTAGGAAGTACCAGCACGGTGTTCTTCCGCTTTCCCAAAACCTGAATCGGGTGCCAAGTTACAAGTACTCGAATATTATTGTATCATACTCGTACTCGGAGATGGAAGTAAAAATCGAGCAAAACAGGGATACAAACAAGGAATCATGGGAATCGTGAAATTGACACCATGGAAAAAAAAAAAAAGTGCAGTGGAAAGAGTTAAAATCCCGGAGCAGTTGCATCTTGATCACTGTGGAAGCCAGCAGTTGCTGCTACAAAGTTCTAAATCCCTAATAGCCTAGACTAATTCCCTATCAAACTTTAGAGACTCAGATATAGAAAGCAAAAAATAATCATCAATCCTACGTTATGCCTGCCCAGGGCCAGTCTGGGTTCTTGGGGACTCCAACTTGCCAATCTTTTCTACAATTCTGACCATCTCAGTACTTCAATGCAATGACAGGGTTTCTTGGAGAACTCGATTTTTACTTCCATCTCCAAGTATCTCAATCAGACCCGTGAACAATCACACCAAGCTGCCGGTACTACTTCTCAGATTACGGATATCTTATAAATTTTTGAGCAAGAGACTTTCCCTCACGTACTCGAGTACTTGTGCCGTACCATGCTCGGATGCTACCGTACTAGAGTCTAAATGGGCAGAGCTTCAAAGACCAGCAGCGGTTTTAGCGAGCCATGAATGACTGAAGACGCTGAAGGAATACTACAAGTACCATTCATACTCTTTCTCTCGTCGATAACGTAAACCGTTTTCCTGCATCTCAGGAAAATGCCACCACCTCAAAAAAAGCTAATATGTACACACCACACGGACCATGCATATTTTTCGGGCTAAAAGATAGAGAAACTTGAGATTGGTATTTCAAAGGGAGAAAGAAGAAAAAAAACCATACCCAAGTACGGCAACAAACGCCCCAGCAAGCAGTTCGAGGTAACTAGCTTTGCTGCGCCAAGAATGGGCAGTGGAAAGCCAGAGAAACAATTGAGTCGAGGACTTAGACTAGTCCCAGCTCTTTTTGATATCAAAATTCCATTTAAACTCCAAGTGGGTATTGTGGTCGTCGTCCATAAACTTGCTAACAGCGTCATAACGACCACGATAGATCATTCCGGAGGGTGCTTCCTCCTCAGAAACTATTCATAGCTGTTAGCCACGAAAAGATTCCTACGATACCGTCACTGAATCGTTTAGGTAAAGGATAATTGCGCTCACAGATTTTCTCGTAGTAGGGGGTTTCCGAGGTATTTGGTCCGTAACTCCCCTATCCACCAAAGCCGACGGTTAGAGCCCACCCACCACCCCAATCACCCGGCACCAAATTCCTAACAACCGAGGTACAGGCTACTAACCATCATTTCGTCAGACTTATCGACCTTGATCCCCTTCCTCTTCACAAGCTGCAGATATCTCAATCCGGAGATAACCTCGTGCTGAACCCGGAATCTGACCTTCATCCGGTATTCAGCACCTTCCTTAATAATAAAAGGCTTGTTCCCCAGTTCTTCTAGAGCTGCGGGGGTATCGAGACTGATGACAACATCTGGACGACCGCTGATCAATAGGCAGAGTTGGAGAATAACGACCTAAAAATCAAGGTTTAATGTTAGATACAGTAGGTATCGTTTATGATCGTCCTAATGGAATATAATGACACCTTTCGCTTATCACCAGGGTCTCCAAGAGAGCCTCCAGCACTACCAGAACCAATACCCAGAGACTGCTTCCAGCGGGCGAGAGACTCATCCTCAGCATCTAGCATCCAAAATCAGCCCCGCCAAATACGACCTCAAAAATGCAATCATTGCTAAAGGCAGCCACCGGAGAAAGCAGAGAATCGAAGTGGTTTAACACGGACCTAGCTTTGCGTACTCATCAACTGACTTCTTTTCCCCCACCTTGTACCTGTATTACGGCATATCTGTTAATATTTTCCTGCTCTAATCTTCGTGAAATCATGTGCGTTTGCGACGTGAAGCACCAAACCCCGCAGACCGAGGTGCGGGGAAAGGATCACCAGGCCCACCAGGAGAAAAATCCGAAGCAAACCAGATTACTTACCCTTCGGTGGTGGATGGCTTCAGCTCGTCATCTGCGTGAGAAGCCATTGCGTTGGATGTGAGAAATTTTTATCGTCGCGCTTCGGGATACTTTGTGTGGGGTATTTTTTTTTTTTCTTTCCTGCTCGGGAGGATGGATGGATAGCTGACTCGGGGAGAATTGGTGGGAGGGCTTGGGAGGACGGACCTGTTTACTTACCAGGTGTTAGTGGTGAAGGAGACAGGGTGGTGGTCAGCGTCAAATTCTTCTGGGCTGAACGGCTCGGAGAAGGTCAACTATTTATACATACGGCCACCCAATTCCCTCCAGAGACTTACTTTGTAGTATCGATGTTATTGAGCTGCTCGAATACTCGTAATTTCTGACGTTTGTGAATACGGCCACCATGGCATGCCACAAAAATCTTGAGGCTCCGGCTGATTTTTTTGGAGTGTCAGAAGATTACGAGTGCCCTGCCGCAGATACTATGTACTGTACTCGCACTCGAGTACCCCACTAGCATGGCGGTTTCGGGAGGTGACTTTTTATTTTATTTTCAATTTCCAGACATGGAACGGAAGAACCTCTGGACGTATGGGCTGTAGTAATGGGACCATTCACGTTGACAGTGCAGATTAAGAACCGTACAGATACATTGACTAGCACAGTAGTTCCCATTGCAGTTGGGCCAGGAATATTAAAACTAAGCAAGTGGGGTTATCACGGGAGCTCCCAATGCGCGAGTGCTCGAGTAGTAGACGAATAAACTTCCATCCTGAGCAAGTTGCCCAGTTCCGGAGAACCCCTTGCCCCCCACCCTCTCCTGCTGCATGCCGCACCGCACAGTGCTCGAGCACCGTACTCGAGTACTCGTACCCAAAGCGCTGTTAGCAGGAGAAAAAAAATACTGCATGTCGGGCGGAGTAACGTATCATGGTGGACAGATCGAAAATCTATCACAATAATAATTATTATCATGCCTTACATGTTGCGATACTCGAGTACTCGAGTAGTGGGGGGGGAGTTGAGGGGAGAAACCCCCACAGAACAAGGTACAGTAGGATGCCGATGTTGTGAGGTGTTTGGTGCATACTAGTACTGTACCTGATTAGATGCGGGGTACTGTAACTAAGTATGATGCTTGGGAACAAACTTCAGCGGGGACACGAAAACCGGCCGGTGACAAAGAGGGGCACCAGTGCTGTGCCGGCATTTGGTAGGGCGAGAGAGTCAGTTGTCAAAGTAGGGTAACAAGGAGGTGCCTATTATTGGTCCCTGCCCGTCCACAAGTCGCTTTTCATAGCACCCCCGTTGAAGACTATCGGCAGGTTTGAGCAGGGTGCAGCAATTCCTACCTTTAAAACATGACTTCAGACTTTGAAGTTTCACAGAGGGAAATTGAAAGGAAATCTGTTACCCTTGTGTCAAATTGTTCGCGAACCAGAGACCCAACCGAAATGTTTGTTGGGTATGATAGTCTACTCGTACAGGTTGCAAATACTCGTAACCTGAGCAACGGTAAACGGGAGTGCAGGGACGGAAAATACAGTTGTGTGAGGTAGCTTTCATACCGGCAGCTGTTAGCGCTGAACGGGCGCGACACTCTCTGGCTGCCCCCCAAAAAGTGTTGCGCGCTTTCCACCCCCTACAGACCAAACAATTCCCGCTTTCCCTGCCAACTGTCTCCACATCGCGTACAGTACATCACCGTTCTACTTGCATTTCTCCTGCTCTATTCTAGTTCTTTGATCTATTTAGTCATCCCGGTTTTTAACCGACGGATCTAATTGTGCAGTGGATTATAATTATCACACCTTTTGCTTTATTGCTCGAAATACTGCTTCTCACTCTCAGCCCTAGCGCAATTAGTGGCCAAGCGGTAGCATTTTTTCTCCCGCACTCTGAGCCCTCCACTCTGCGTTAATACTGATCACTCTATCACGAGTTTACATATCGCGTTAACCTAAGCTATGCCTAGCGAGAAGAAGATTAAGGAACGCTCTCTACCATCACAGAGAAACCCGTTGCTCCAAGGAGCTGATATTCCGGCTTGTACGCTCTCCTCCTCTTCTGTCGCGCGGCCGTTGTCGCAACACACATTCACCTCGTCATCACTACTTCATCGCTGTTCCCCCACCGCTAACTCAAACATCATATTGAATCCTGCAGACAATGAGCTCGTTGACATGCGCCGCCTTGGGCAGACCAATTTGGGAAGCAAAGGTGGAAATGAAGCGGTTCTTTTTTCCTATGTACATCTTCGAGCGCCTCTCCCACAGTCTTTGGAAGGCTCGGAAATCTTTGGATCGATGGCACCTGAATCGTACTTCTTGATGCGCAGAAGCCAAGATGGATACGTGAGCTCTACGGGAATGTGAGTCTCGGTTGTCCTTTTCCTGCATTTCGGGTGGGGGGGTCTCCTTCCCCCCCCCCTCCCCTTATGTCTCCGGGCATCCCATTCCATCAAGTTTATTCATCTTGCCGAATGGTTATATGGGCCGAAAACTGGATCCGCATCAGTACCTCTCATGAGGCAGGAAGTTAACTCATTTTTTTTTTCTGGCTGAATGTAGGTTTAAGGCCTCTTTCCCCTGGGCTAAAAAGAAGGAAGAGGATCACGAAAGGCAGTATGTGAGGGAACATTTCGAGAAGACATCCCCAGATGAAACTGCAGGAAATTTGTGGATCCACCCCACTGATGGTAAGTATATCCATTTTTCAGGTTGCATAATTGCATTCTGGGCGAGTAGCTGACATTGTTGAATAGCCCTGGCTTTGGCCGACGAGTATGTGTAACCCGAGTGCCCCTCTTCCCTCTCGAGCCAGCCAAGCTGCATGACTGACACACGTATTCTCTCAGCTATGGAATGAGACTGTGGATTGAAGCCCTACTGGATAACGAGTCTGTGATCCCCTCTGACCATCGCAAACGAAACATTACTCCTCCACCCCCTTATTTCAAGCCAGCCGAATCTGACGCGGGATCCGTTGCGTCCAGCACTGCACCCGCTCCTCGAAGACGGTCTACACGATCAGTCTCACCTAGTAAACGTCTTGGATCAACTCCACGAAAAACACGCGCGAAGGCAGCCAAGGATAGCCCTTTAAAAAAAGAAGTTGCACCCATCGTAGAGGCTATGGAAGAAGAGACCGAGGTCGTTACCCTCACAACAACCGAGAAGACGACACTGACTTCTACCGAGACTGCTCCTGTATTGACCAACGGCAATGGAATCGAAACCAGTCTAACCACTCCAGCCAAGGGTGAGCCAACGATAAAACTTCGAGTTGACCAGGAAAGCGAGGAGAAAGGAGATGTTACGGTTGCAAGAAATAGCGTTAAGCTCGAACTTGCATCTGGCGAGCTCGAACTCCCAGCTGGCAAGATCACGGTTCCAATTGTAGAGACTGCACAGGAAATGATTGCTAAAGCTAAGGAAATGGTAGCTGAGGCCCAACGCCTCGACAGTGGCTCCGATGTCATTCCCGTCAACGGTGTCGGCAGAAAGCGAAAGGCCGAGGATGTAGAGTGCGCTGAAGAGGTTGGTGCTGGTGAAGAGTCTGGCTATAGACATGTCAAGAGGTCAAAGGTTCTGGAGGAAGAATTGAAAAGAGAGAAAGTCAAGAATAAGGCTTTAATTGGACTGACAGCAGTCTTGGCTATCGGGTTAGTTCCTTTATCTTAACCAGCAATTCCTTACCGAATGGCTTGTCCACTAACGGATTAATGTATGTGCGCAGAGCCATATTCCCCTATGTTCTATAGTGTGGGAAGGTTTTGCCAGACATGACTCGATTTTCACGAACATTATCCTGGATTATCTGAGGAATGTGATTCCTTATCTACCAGAGTTCTTAGGTTTTCACGAGTCGACCCTGTCATGATATGCTTATAGTTCTCCCGTTTTTTTATTTTTCTGTCCTCAGTATAACATTTCTTTTCGACTTGTTTTTTATTATTCTCATTTTCTAAGCTACTGGAATTTAAAAATACTATCGTTAGCCCCAGATATGTTCTCTACTTTCCCACTTACTTTCTTTTCTTCCGTTTTCTAATTATCAATTGTCTTTTTCAAAGGGACTTTTCGTCTTCAGGGGTATTTGTTAAGAGTCTATTGGTTACAGACTCAGCACTTGACCTGTCAGGATCTTTGCTTTCTTTACTTTCTGTTTTTGTTATTATTTGATGTTTCGTTCGTCTGGGGTTCTTCGTCTGAAATTTGTTCCACTCTTAAACTTTCAATTGTCGGTTGTTTGTATGTACGCTATAATTCCATTTTACTCTCAGTTTTCAAATTGTAGAATTCTGATATCCTATCACTCTTATAGATCTTTCCGTGTTGGTTCATGGGCTCAGGTGTTTGAGCACCCGAGTTTTTATTGTAAGAATCTGATTATTCCCTAATTTATCGGAAGAGTATTGCTGGTATTATAATAGTTTCAGCTCCTACGAATCAATATGGTTTCCCACAATTGCAGTGTACTATGTAGTCTTTTTATCTGTATATGGGCATGTTTGTCGCTCAGTGGCAGTACTCGAGTAGAAGGAGCCCTTTGTTCAGTTGGAATCAGTAGTAATGCACTAAGGATATTATTTAAAGACAGTCAGCGTGCGGTCCGTAAGGTAAGTATCGGTACTCGGACGGTACCGCTCCGCCACCGTTTAATGTTCAACTACGATACGGTGGAAGCTGGGAGAATCGGTAAAGCACGGCTTTATATACTCGAGTATAGTCCCGAAACTTGGAATGTAATTTAGGGTCGACTCAGCTATTATAAAAGTATCATAATAATATTATCATACAAACTTCCTTCTATCAGAATATCCTAACTATACTATAAGGGTAAACCCTAAAATACTTATATCCGAAGGACTTGTTATCAGGGGTCAGAGGTAGACTCAGGTTAGCCACAGGCGACCCTACCCCGCACGAATACCAGCACTCCAGAACGCAAAAGGCACTTCGCTTTTCTTCGGTCTCCCGGTTGTTCCTCTTACAGCTAACCGCGCCATTTCCCTATACGAGTACAGGTACGAAGGCAGTATTGATTTGCTTTTGCTCTCTCCTACTCGAGTACCAACATCATGTAACCTAGCTCAACCGATCTGGGATTGAGACTGCATACCTGGTACCTTAATCATGTTATTCCTACGGTCTCGCTACCTCTTGCCGTTCTCGAAAAGGCTCTTTTCCACCTCTACTCGCCGTGATGCCACGTGGGGATTTGTTGGACTCGGGCAAATGGGATACCCTATGGCTCGGAATCTACGTGTCAAGGCCTCCGCCGACGATATGCTTGTTATCTTCGATGTGAACAAGGATGCGACGACGCAGTTTGTGGACGAATTAGGCTTGACGTCTAAGAAAATTGTTGTCGCGGGCAAGCTCGAGGAGGTTGTGGATAGGAGTGTGAGTTATTCTTGTTGATAATTTGTTTTTTAAAAAGTTTTGTCTCTCTTGATGATGAGTATGTCCGATTATTATGAAATGTTTCTAAAGCGGGTGGCTTCATCTTGAAGTCTACTCTCCGTGATTTTTCCATTACATCAAAGCCAATCCTCTGAGTCCTTTTTGAGTCCTTCGTACTTCGAATCTTGTTATCCGATTATCTTTGCTGCCTGAGTGATGTGCTGATCTTAAGGATGTTGTAGGACACAATTATAACTATGCTCCCTCAGCCACAGCATGTTAAAACTGTTTTTAGTTCTTTCCTTAATGTATCTTCTAGCCCTGCTGGAAAGGAGCAAAAACTCTTCATCGATTGCTCGACAATCGACATATCTACCTCTCTTTCAGTCGGCAAGTCCGTGTGCGAGTCTGCTCTCAATGGACAGTTTGTCGATGCACCCGTATCCGGAGGAACTGTTGGAGCGGCTGCGGGGACGTTAACCTTTATGGTTGGATCTGAGCCGGCACTCCTGCCCAGGATTATGTCTCTCCTTTCCCGCATGGGTAGTCGCGTTATCCATTGCGGACCGCCCGGTGCCGGGTTGGCAGGGAAATTGTCCAATAACTACCTTCTCTCTATAACCAATATCGCTACTGCCGAAGCGATGAATCTTGGGATCAAATTGGGATTAGATAGCAAGGTGTTGAAGGACCTTATCAATGTCTCTTCTGGAAGGTGTTGGAGCAGCGAAGTCAACAATCCCGTTGATACAGCACAGAGGGAATTTAAGGGAGGATTTGGGGTTTCTCTTATGAAGAAGGATCTTAAGCTTGCCATCCAAGCTGCTGAAGAGACTGGAGCGAAATTGGCCATGGGTGAGAAGGCAAAGGAGGTTTATGAAGCTGTCGAAGGGGTCGAGGAATGCAAGGGGAGAGATTTTTCGGTAGTTTACAGATGGCTGGGGGGAGAGGAGGGGAAAATGTAATATTGACTAGAATATTGTAGTTTGCTCCGTAACTACGGAACAAAGAGAACAAATAAAGTTCCAGAGACGCCGTCAGCAGCTAGAACAATGCTTTAATGATGGCTGATGAGGTAACTTGTATAAGAGATGTGATTCGGCGCACTCGTTGATAAAATCTACATAAGTCTATAGAAAGCCTTTCTTGTTACCATAAAACACCTTAAACTTCCCCACTTTGGAGAGATACCAGGGGGTGTTTCTTCGTTTATTTTACTACGGCAATAGCCGTGCTCCTTATACTTGATTTATGAGCGCTCAGCTTTTGAAATTAGTGTATAAGCACAATAGCGGCGCCGGCGTTTGAGTATTTCCTATTTCAAGTACCGAGTCCTCTTTTCGTAGATAGGCATTATGAGGGAATCATACAAACGCCAATCTCACGCCAGTTACTGGAAAAAGCGGCTGGTTCTATTGGCTCCTCTAAGCATTTTGACTACTCTTTGTCGAACAGAACTCCAGCTCATGTTAAAGTCAGTAAATGGTCAACGTGTAACAGGGTACCGATAGCAGTTAAGTCTCTCTACAAACTTTAATTTTTTTTTCTGAGTGGCTTGGAATGTCCATTGATGATTATTTCTGTAGGAATTCTGATATCTAGCTTGGAAGGAACAAGAGCTTGTGTATGTTTCTGATGAAACAAAAAGGGTTGCTCTCTTGCTCACCAAATTTGTAAGGTGAGCTGTATGTGGAAGACAGACACTGGTATGCATTCAAATACAAAAGTGTAATAGAGGCGAAGGAATCCAGGAAATGCTTTACAATTGTAAATGGATATTTTTTTTTTTTAATTAATTTATATATTCATTGATTCGGCTATCAACTGGGTACAAGTACTTGCATGTAGTAATCAAGCTACTCGCGCGGTCGCGCGGTCGAGTTGAAGTTGGACACCCACATAGAGTAGTGATCGCCGAGCCAATAAATGAGCTGAACCAGGGTGGCAACATAGGAGATGTGATCCAATATACCGTAGAAAATAAGTGTATGAGACATGAAACTCATCGCCACACAACAATCGATTGAACTCAAGGACAAAGAGTACTCTTTAATACCCAATTTTCATCTCTTTCATGATTGACCTATCATCTACTATGCCTGCACATGGTCCAGGAACAGCACCACAAGTACCACTACTCAAAAGAGCAGCAATCTTGTCGCTCCACTGGTACGTGCATATGTCCTATCGGAAAATTGAATGTGAATTGGGAATCAGCAAGTTCACAGTAGAGAGCATTATCAAACAAGAAAAAGTATAGTTATTTAATCTAAATTAAAGAAGAGTATAAAGTACTATTTAGCTAATTCAATAGCTTT